CTATGGCGCCTATCCCCCACATATGGCACACCAATCTGTGAGGACCCATTCTTATAACAGACCCCCTCGTCGTGGTGGCCTCCTCCCCAAGAGGAAACCTGGTCCCCGAGTCTTATCTTCCCCCCATCCCCATCCCCATCCCTCTATTTCACTTCCGCCACCTAATCTGGCTCCAGAGAGTGGACAATTTGAACACTATCTAACGTTGATGAAATCGAACCAGGGCCCCTACTTTGACCCCAACTATGGCTACTACCAACAATACCCCATGCAGCAGTTCATGGCTCCCCCGTCGTCTCCTCAACCGCGTCCCGGAATGCCCTACTCCCCTCAACCCCCGTATATGCAAGGCCAGTACCCACCCCAGCAGCCGCCTCAGGCCATGTCCCGCTCGCCCTCGCAGGTGTCCAATGACCGGCCCGGCTCCAGCTTGGGACACGGTCAGCCCCCGGCTGGCCCTCCGGCCGCCAGTCATACGCATACCGCCAGCCGTCCTTCCAACAGCCCCGCTCCGGGCGTGCAGAACTTTGTCATCCCATCGAGCAAGAAGAGTGCCATTGTTATCAAGGACCCTGGTAGTGGTGCGGTGAAGACATTCGAGAAGGCCCCGGCATCTCCCGCTCGTGCGACCCCGTCCCCCGTGAAGTTGGCGACTCCAACCGCCACGCCGCCTCCTCGCAGCAGCAGTGGTGCGGATCACACCCGGACCGACTCCAAGGCAACCAAGACGGATGAGGAAAAGAAGCAGGAGCTGAAGGATGCTGTGCGTCAGAAGATCGAGCAGGATGAGGCCGAGGCCCGCCGCAAGAAGGAGGCAGCCGAGAGCGAGGTAACTCGTCAAAAGGAAGAAGAAGAAGAAGCCGCTCGCAAGAAGCAGGAGGAAGAGACTGCCCGCAAGCAGAAGGAGGAAGAGGAGGCCGCGCAGAAGAAGGCTGCTGACGAGGAAGCCGCGCGCAAGGCTCTCGAGGATCTGAGTCTGAAGGACAAGGCCGAGGAGGCCAAGCCCGCTGCCGAAGAGCCTTCCAAGGCTGCCGACTCCACTCCTGCTCCTGCTGACGATGATGACATTGATTACGATGCTATCGAGCGGGAATTGGCCGAAATCGAAGCGAAGGAGGCTGCCGCGGAAGCCGCCTACTATGCTAAGAAGCAAGCTGAGAAGGAGGAGAAGGAGCGCAAGGAGAAAGAGGAGCGGGAAGCCTACGAGGCCAACATGAAGAAGGCCGAGGCCGAGGCTGAGGCTCTTGAAGAAGCTCGGATGAAGAAGCGCGAAGCGGGTGAGCAAGACACTTCGAACAAGGACCTGTTCGCTTCGCTTAAGAAGGGAGGATACGGTGCGACGGAAACCAGCGAGCCTGCTGAGAGCGGAACTGCTACTCCCGCTTCTGATGCCTCGATGGGTCCTCCCGCGAAGCCTGCCAGTGCTGGCAAGCGTGAGAAGCCTGCTGCGCTCAAGTTGGAGACCAACAAGGCCGTCGAGCCTCCTCAGCCTAGCGCCGCCATGAAATCTCTTCACTCCGCTCGGCTGATCGAGGACTTGAGCCAGGTTTCTTACCCGGCCTCGATTGTGTCTCCCAATCCGGCTTTGAATGCCAGCGCACCCGCGGATCGCAAATTCCATTACAACAAAGAGTTCTTGCTTCAGTTCCAGAGTGTGTTCAAGGAGAAGCCATCCGTCGACTGGGATGCACGCGTGCGTGAGACCGTTGGTGATAGCGACTCATCTCGCCCACAATCTGCTCGCACACCTATGATGGGTGGTCGCAACAGTTCTCGCTCCGGTATTTCCCAAGGATTCCAGATGGGCAACTTCGGCCAAGCTGCGTCCCGGCACAGTCTGCCTCCGGGCTCAACCTCCGAGCAGCGCTTTGCTCTTGCCAACGCCGCTCGTACCGCTTCTATGAACAACCCGTTCGGCTCTTTCGGACGCGGGCCCATGCCGATGGGCTCGCCTGCGCTCAGTCGCACCAACTCGGCCAACCCCATGATGCCAGGATCTCCTCGCCCAGGTTCCAACCGTTCGGGCACGCGCACCGGCAGCAAGCGCGAGAAGCACCAGGCCAAGAAGGAGGAGGAAATGGCCAAGTCCATGCCTCTCACTGCCGGAAAGGAGGTTGCGGCGCTCCAGGTCTCGACCACCGGTTGGAAGCCTCGCAGTGTGGGCCAGGCTCCTCAGCCTACTGGTGCTACCAGTGCTGGTTATCTGGCTCCCGATGTTGTGCAGCGCAAGGTCAAGGCTGCTTTGAACAAGATGACTCCCGAGAACTTCGACCGTATTTCTGGCCAGATCTTGGAAATTGTCTCTCAGTCTAAGGACGAGACTGACGGACGTACTTTGCGCCAAGTGATCCAATTGACCTTCGAGAAGGCAACCGACGAGGCTCACTGGGCCTCGATCTATGCCAAGTTCTGCAAGAGCATGCTCGAAAGCATGAGCCCGGAGATCAAGGACGAGAACATCCGCGACAAGAACGGCAATGTTGTTGTTGGTGGTAGTCTGTTCCGCAAGTACCTGCTCAACCGTTGTCAAGAAGAGTTCGAACGTGGCTGGAAGGTTAACCTTCCTCCTAAGCCTGAGGGCCAGACTGAGGAGGCTGCTATGATGTCGGATGAGTACTACAAGGCTGCCGCTGCCAAACGTCGTGGTCTGGGTCTTGTTAAGTTCATTGGTGAACTGTACAAGCTTGGCATGTTGACAGAGCGTATCATGCACGAGTGCTTGAAGAAGCTGGTTGATTACGAAGGTGTTCCTGATGAAGCCGAGGTAGAGAGCTTGACCAGCTTGCTGCGTACCATTGGTGCCAGCCTTGATGTCTCCGAGAAGGGTCACGCGTTCATGGATGTCTACTTCCAGCGCATCAACAACATGGTGCAGATCCAAGGTCTGCCAAGCCGACTGAGGTTCATGCTCATGGTAAGCCTCATAAGATTCCCATTCATGATGGACGAAAATCTAATACATTTCCCCTGCTCTTTTAGGACATCATCGATTTGCGTAATGCCAAGTGGAAGTCCAAGGACGCCGACAAGGGCCCCAAGACTATCCAACAGATCAGAGAAGAGGTATGTGTGTCTTAGCAGTATTTGGTATGCTTTCTTCTAATCGTCATTGTAGGCTGCTCGTGCGCAACAAGAGGCCGAGATGGAGCGTCTCCGCCAGCAGGCTAACCGCGGTGGCCGTCCCAATATGGGCCGCGGTGATGCTCGCAGCTACTCTGGCTATGGCAACCAGGCACCTCCTCCGGACTACGCCTCCAGCAAGGTCGGCAGCGACGACCTCCGTCGCCTGCGTACCACTCGCAACACCAGTCAGCCCATGTCGTTTGGTCCCTCTAGCATGCTGGGCTCTCGCAGCAGCAGCGGCCGGAAGAACCTTGGCCCTGGTGGCAACTTGGTTCGTGGCAGCGATGATAGCGCTGCTAGCAGCCGGACTGGAACACCCCCTGCTGGCAAGAAGGAAGACAAGGAAGCTGCGTCGTCGATGAACGCGTTCAGGTAAGTTTTGCATCTCAAGCATCCTCCCATATTTGAAACACCCCCATCTGACTCTGGAATAGTGCTCTTGCTAGCTTGGAAGACCGCGACAACATGGCTACCTCCCCCCCCTCGAACCCTACCTCCCCTTTGCTAGCCAAGTCGCAACCTGCCGTTGAGCGCCGGCCATCCAAGACACCTTCGAAGGACGGTGAGGAAGCATCATAGATTCTCTGGCAATGATAATGAAAATTATTCCGTTTCTTCTGGAAAGATTTCCCACTTATTCTTCTCTTTTTTTGTTGACCCTTATGCCATGTTATTCATGTCACATGCTCATTCCTCCTAATCTTCTCGTCCATGATTTCGGTACTCGGTGGCTTATACACTCTTCCGTTCCCATCCATTGATTGGAAGAGGGAGGCACTCCCGACGTTATAATGTACAATGAATGTTGTGTTTCAAAAGCGAAATGCCATAATGAAGGTGGGGGCTTTTGACGAATCTAGCGAGATAGGTTGGCTTGCAGGGATGTCTGATATGTCTTTGTTTTCTTGTTATGTCCTTTGCATTTCAATACCCGGAGTTGCTTCAGCAGTTTTCCGTCCCGGACAAACGTTGACGCCGACGTTTGACCCCACCAGGACAAGACTTTTTCACGGCTACTTGTTTGTCTCAAGACATGAATGTAGCTTATGTGTTTATTTCTTTCCCCCTGTCGTTTTCAGTCATCTTTGTATGCATTGCATCTACATTGGCTTGGTGTGTGCTGGCGATGTCTGCTTCATCTGCTATGATATGTCTCTCTAAAACCCTTTTGCTAGACAAAAACTTCGTTAGAAAAAGTTTCCTCTTTTCATTTCAAACATTTCTTATCCACTTATCTTCCATACCACGCCCCCTCTCGGGTTATGCTGTCTCCATAGTGTTCTGCTGTTCTTGAGTGTATTCCTCAATTGACTGACGATATCCCCCAACATCATGGTTGACGCTCAGATGAACATGCTTCAAGTCATCAATTGAGTTCCATCTGTCTCCTTGTGCTATTTAAGCCTCCTTAAAACAGGTATAACATCTCTCAACCCTTTGATGGTAATGATCACCTCTAAGATCCATCAACAGGGTTTTCCCATTTCTGGATGTTTGGAACCCATCAAGTGAGAACTCTATGGCAATTCTACGTAGTAACTATAGTATCTTTTCGTTTCTTATTTATAGATATATATATATATATATATATTAGACACTGAGACTGATTCTGTGGTTATATTAGCCATGGGAATCTTTATACGTCAAGTTTGATATTTCCCTGTGGGAAGCCAATATAAATAAATGCAGATATTGGGGTTTTTCGGGTGGACTTTTAGCACTTTGGTTGGTTTTGTGCGTCGGGTTGATATTATTTAGGTATTATAGGGAAAATAAATAAAGATAAAAGTAAAAGATATACACCATAATGCGTCTTGTAAAAAAAAATTCTGTTTAGTGC